GTCCAATACTAGAGAGCCTCTTAAAGTAGAACAATGCCACAAGTACAGCTTGAGAATCACGACAGCTCTTTGTGAAACTTTGTAATTGCATAGCAGTAACAAAGTGCTAGAACAGACTGCACCGCAGACTTCATTACAGGGTTGGGCAGAGCTCACGATGAAATACATCATTTGCTGCTCACAGTAATGCTTTTGATGGAGCCTAAAGGACAGTAAAGCCATTTTCACGCGCCTTGAATTTTTCTAGGGTTTTACCATCCAGAGATGCATGTGAGAACGCATATGCCATGGACAGTCTCTCATGTGCAACATGAGACTAATGTTACTTTGTATTAATGTGCCAATAGAACTGTTAACAGTTCAGTGCATTTACCATTAGTGAGAGGGTGTCCTGCATATTCCCCAGGCAGCTCCCTCAGCCAAACAAGTAGTGTTTCCAGTAGTGAGAATATGCTTAAAGTTCTCTATTTCCTGCTGTGTGCAACATTTAAGAAAGGGAAACGATGGATAATCTCTCAACATGACTATCTCCAAATTGCCCAAAGTTCATGTGTGAAAAACTGCCCAGTGGGAGGGGAAATACAGTAGAATATGAAACAAAACAACAACACTGTCACATATATCTAACATATGACAAATAACTACTTACAGAAGCAGTGTCTACTTCATATCAGCATTTTTTTGTCATGAAACACAATGACACCTCATATAAAATATGGCAAGATATTAATCCTCATATGTTAACATCGCCGCTGCTGCTGCGTGTATAGAAGATATATACACTTATTATAAAACATAAATATATGTGAAGAGCAGAAGTGAAGTCCGGCACAGAAAATATCAAATATTTCATGACTGAGACTTCTGTTTGGACTGGCACATCGTAACTAAGTCGAAGAGTAAAGACGAGATGTCGTGAAGATCTGTCACACTCGGCTCAGCAGATGACAGCTACTGATCGATGAGGCTTACCCATCGGACTTGGCTTCAAGCCACCACCCTGTGCAGCCTCCTCCTGCCGTGGGGGTGGGGGGGGTGGGGGGAACTTTGTGACTGTAATATTAAAAACCGTACGCAAGGTTTAGATGCGTGGGACAGGGTGAGGCATCTCTAACCAAACAAAATCTCTCAGAATTCCTAAGCTCAGAGACGCTTACACAAACAGCAGGGCAAAATCCATCTTTCTGACAGAATCATTTCCAAAGCCCAAACCCCCAACTGGGCTCCTGGATGCACTTCTGAGCCGGGCCCGTCTGGGAGAGTGTGTCAATTTGTGCGCGTGTGCGTGCGTCTGAAGGGTAACGAGAGAGGGAGCAGTGGGATAAAGAATGAGTCATTCAGTGCAGAATAAGAAGTGCGGCACAACCTGTCTTCAACTTTATTTCGATTTCTCTCTCTAGAACGAGGGTTTTTTTCTACCTTAGTCAGGCAGGCTTTCATCGTTTGAGCAAACTTCAACGTCTCTGCGTGTCTGTGTAAGTCTAAGACAAAGAGATTAATGGTGAAGTCATCTTAAAGCGTTCCTATCATTTCTCTACAAATCTGTCTGAACCACTTAATTCTCACAAGCTGCGTCTCAGCACTGAGTGACTGTTTGTGTCTAAGCAGGTCCGCTCAGACAAGACTGTGGTAGGAGTTCAAATCAAAGGCTTATAGCCCTTTGGCAAATGACCGAATGAACTCAATCTTAAGTCCCGTGGGGTCAAATGTACCACAGACATGTCAAGTTAGGCCCAACTTTCTCACACATATTCTCTTGTGGTGAGATCTTCCCAGCCGTTCTGTCTCCCCCAATAACATCTGCACAAACCTCGTCGCGTCCTGCATCCTTAATTCTGATCTTACAACGTAACCGCGGTTTCTAATCCCTCAGAACTCTGATATTCACACTTTAATATTATTAGATTTTTTTTTCAACATGACGTTTTCCTCTGCTTAGCCCTTTTAGGTCACCAAGAGATAATGCTAACCAGGGAACAATATCCTCATTCTAGGAGACTGTATCATTTTTTTGAATTTGCCATTATCATAAATGACAAGCAAGATCTCCTGACACAGAGAGTAAGAGTTGAGAGAGAACAAATTTGCACAATAGAAGACAAGATAAAAAAGAAAATATGATCATAACAGGGCTGACAGCATGACCTGGTACCTACACTCTGCTTTATCAGACATTCTGGCAGAGTGGAACAGTTTTGACCATTAAACTTACATCGTATTTGTACATTTGAGTTAAATCCTCTTTGTTTTCTCGCTTGTCGCTGACAGGTTTTTTACATGTTAACAATGCCACAAAAATTTGTCATGATAACATTAAGAAAACTGGCTGATTTAGAGCAGTAGCACGCCATTATTTTGGATATCCCCAAAATAAACACGGCCCAGAGAGATATCCAGTTTTTAAACCTGATATGATCTCACTGCCAGAGCGGGAAACACATTAAACTGACCTTTGGGAAAACCATCCATCCATGCAGATCAACATAGCCTTTATGTCCAACTTCACTCCCCAACTAAAACATGCCTGAAGGTTTAAACACTGATAATAAAATGTGCTATCAAGATACTTTTTATCTACATTCTCTCTCTGCTCAGTAACCTCAGACTTATAATGTAACCCAGTATTTTTATTTTGAGGCCTTACAGTTTAGCATTCTGACTATCTTGTTTTTCTGGAGCCAGAAGCTTATTTTGGCATGAGGTGCTGAGTTATCAGCTATCGCTAGCAAGCTGGGTTGCTGTTCCCATAAAACTATGTCACTCTGACACAAAGATCTGCTAATTAGTTTCAAGTAACACGCTAACAAAATACTATAACTGTCGGGGAGCTGAGGCCTTGCAGATAGTTTAGTGTTAGGTACATGCCTAATTACAAGTCTTAAAAAACATTTGAATGAATGGAACTTGTAAAATAAATTACATGCATCGTATATAGATCAGGCACAACACTATGACTACTGACAGAAGTGAAGAACATAACGTAAAGAACTGTACCCGAGTTGGACAAAGGCCGAAATTGTGATTGCTACACGACTGGGTCAGAGCATCTCCAAAACTCCAAAGCTCTTGTTGGGTTTTTCCAGTCTGCAGCGGGAAGCAAAGGCTGGCCTGTGTGGACAGACGAGCTCATGCAGCTCAAACGGCCAAAATCGTTGGTGCTAGTGCTGATAGAAAGGCATCAGAATACACACTGCATCACAGTTTGATGCGTATGGTGCTGCATAGTCGCAGAGCAGAAAGGGTGCCAATGCCGACTCCTATGCACCGCCAAAAGCAATGGAGCAATGGAAGAATCATGATGAATCATGTTTCCTTTTAACTCATGTGGATGCCCAGGTGGGTTATTTATCTGGGAAACACCGGGCATCGGGATACACCATGGGAAGAAAGTAAGCTGGTGGAGGAAGTACGATCCTTTGGGCAACGCTCTGCTGGAAAACCTTGGGTCCTTGTTAAAGTTACTGTGACAAGTACTACCTACCTAAGCATTGTTGCAGACCATGTACAGCTTTTTGTTGAAATGGTAATCCCTAATAGCAAAAATGGTCCAGAAATGGTTTGAGGAGAACAAACCAGTGTTGACTTGGCCTTCAATTTCCCCAGGTTTCAATCCAACTGTGCATCTGTGTGATGTGCTGGACAAACAAGTCCGATCCATGGAAACTCCACCTCAAACTTAAAGGACTTAAAGGATCGGTTGCTAACATCTTGGTCCAGATACCACAGCACACCATCAGGACTCTAGTGAAGTCTGTGCCTCAATGGATTGGAAGGACCAACACAATATTATGCAGTTGGTCCTAATGTTATGCCTAATCGGTATATGCACACACAACACACGGTGTTATGATAAAAGGAATCCATCCATAAAGAAAAAACTTTTTTTTCATTACACTAGATGTTTAATACTCTTTAGTTGCCAATTTTAACGTGGGAGTCTATGGTGATGGCTCGCTTTTAGAGCCAGCCACAAGTGGCTACTCAGAGTTCTTGACACATAACTGTCGGCTTAATTTTCCATCCCTGGAGGTTGTTGTTTGACTCACACTCATCCAGAACAAAACCCACTAATTGGAAGGTTGACAGTTCAACCACCGGCTCATCCAGTCTGCATATTGATACTCTCAACAGCGCACATGTAACCAACAAGAGTATCGAATAAAGTGCTATATGATGCATATGAATAACACTTGAAAGTCTCACACTATTACAAACCTCTACTAGACTAGAAGACCCACATGCCTCGAAGCCAAGTCTGCTTGATGTTCTGAATTTACACAAAAATGTCTGTTCTGAGGAAAAACAGCAACACAGGAAAGACACAGATCCCAAGTATTCCACACAACACCAACACCACTGGCAGTAAATAAGGTTACTTTAGGTCACGCTGCCACTGGGATACAACTCAGGCTGTTTTAAGATGTCAATTAAACCTCATGCTGTGATTATAATAGAATTGCAGCGCTGCAAACAAAACTGCAGAAAACCACAGTATGGTTACAGGGGATAAAGAGCTGACTGACGGCTCAGGTTTAATAAGATACCCCCATTAAAAGAGAAAGAGATCCGAAATAAACATGACAGCAGAAGTGAGACTTGGGCACATTAGAACTTAAAATTTATTAGATTTTTAAAAACAGTGTTGAGGATTGGTTTGATTACCATTTCTTCTGATATCATGTTTAGCATTTTTTTTCTGAAATTTTGGTGGTGCTGTGCTGTTCAGGAGTCGGTGGAAGTTATGGCCAGACTTACCAGTGCCTTCTTTCTCCAAATTGTCAACGTTTGCACTGACAGAGACAAAGGATTCTCATTTCCGGAGCCACCACAGCGTACTTAATCAAGTTTGGATTACAATTCCTTTGGGAAAAGGCTCAATGAGCCATAAGGACTGACTTATTAGCATAAGTATTAAAAAGCATCTAAATTAGCATTTAAAGATGAGCTAAAGAAATGTAACGTTATGACAAAAAAATAAATAAATCTTAAGGCCAGCTTACCTGTAAATGGGATCCTGCATCACCATCATTTTGCTCTCGTCCCATGTCCACTCCTTCTTCTGTGTAAACAAAACGAAACCATTCAGTTACACCAAATGTAAAAATTTGGATACATAAGACAAATGAAATAAGAAACATTCCTTGCTTGGACAGTTTGAACATAAATCAGCTGAAACTCAAAGACAGACAGATGATATTCCGTGAGCACAGATATCATTGTGAGCCTTTCACATACATCTTTTACTTGCTCCTTTTGACTGTTTGATTAAATCTACCTTTCAGCTTAATGCCACAATCAAAATGTCACCACAGACACACACAGGAATCATTGATTTCTGTCTCCACAGAGCACTTTGTTGACCGAGTCATTCAGTCACTTCAATCTGCGCTCTTTGAATGCCTCCTTCGCACTCAGAGATGTAAATAGATTGCTGACCGTCACACTTGACATTTCAGCTTTCGGGACAAGGAGCCAAACTCGACAAGAAAACATTCATCCATCGACTGGCCTTTAATTGCATCCCGCCAGTACACTTGACCAAGGGCCTTTTGAGGGCAGCCAGGTACAGAAAAATAAATATCCATATTTTGTGCTCACTTTTGGTTTGTTGTCAGAAATGAAATATAGTTTGAATCCCTTCATTTTTCAGAATTCTTTTTAAAACTTTATCATGTTGCGTTTTTATGTGAGTTTGTGCCTGGCTTTCAGTTAGCTGACTTGACAGCTAACTGCTATTTAAGTGAAGGTGGAACTGTCCTGTTAGCATATGTAAAGTAGAGATGACAACCTAAGCCGAAAGGATAATACAAAGTTCCAAAAACAAAAAAAAGAAAAGCAAAAACTGACTGCCGGCTTGCCAAACTAAATAGTTACAAAACAACCAGGTACTAATTTATTAACACAGATGCAGCCCGTTAATTCTGATGAATGACCTAGGTAATTTACCAATAGCAGTGGAAATTAGTAAGTCAAACACAAGCAAACTTAATGTGGGCATGAATAATCTAACAACTAAACAACACAGCAAAAGACTTTTGCATATTTCAAGTGGAGGGTGGTGCTGAAGCAAACCACACAGAGTTCAGTGGAACCATGGAATGACACTGTCTAAAGACAAAGGTGGGATGTCTCATCACTTCTTGATGACAGAGCTCCCGGGGTGGACGAGATTCGCCCTGAGTTCCTTAAGGTTCTGGATGCTACATAGCTGTTTTGGTTGCCACATCTCTACAACATGGCATGGAAATCTGTGGCAGTGCCTCTGGTTTGGTATGCTGGAGTGGTAGTTCCGATCTTTAAGAAGGACAAACAGAGGGAGTGTTTCAGCTATAGGGGGATCACATTAGTAAGCCTCCCTGGGAAGGTCCAAGTCAGGATACTGGAGAGGAGAGACATTCAGTTAGTTAAACCTCAGTTTCAGGAGGAAAAATTAGGGGTTTTTTGTCCTCGTTGCAGAATACTGGACCAGGTCTTTATCTTCTCGAGGATATTTGAGGGTACATGGGAGTTTGAGGAACCATTCTCTATTTGCTTTTTGGACTTGGAGAAGGCATTTTACTAAATTTCTTTGTAAATTTGGGTACAACTATGGAGAATCTTACTCTCTTATTGCTACGAGAGCTATTCAGTCTCTGCACAATTGAATTTCGAGGCCCATCTAAGTTCCAGAAGTTGGTCTCAGAATCTCATTTCTGCTTTTTAAAGATGCTCAAGTTCTATTGGCTTCAAAATTTGGACACTGTACCGCTCTATTGCGGTGAACTGAGAGATGAGTGTGAATGTGACGCTGTTGATCTACATCCCTACCCTCATCTATGTTCACGAGCCCTGGGCAGAAATCAGACTGTGGACACAAGTGGGAGAAATGAGTTTCTTCTGAAGGGCGGCTGGGCTCTCCCTTACTGTTGAGATGCGAAGTTCAGTCATTCAGAAGGAACTCCACATTGAAAGGAGCCAGTCGAGGTGTTTCAAGCATCGCCTACTTGGAAGAGGCCCTGGGGCAGATCCAGGGAAAACTATAGAGATTATATCTCTTAGTTGGCCTGGGAAAGTCTCAAAGTTCCCTCGGATGAACTGGGAGAGGATGGTCTGTTGTATTGACCCACGGCGGGAAAGCGGCATTAAATAGATGGATGTATGGAGATTTTCACCAGTTAGCCTGTAAATGAAGTTATTGTTCCATTTGCATAAATGTGCACATCTCGTTTGTTTTCTGCATGTGTATGTAGCTGCAGGTATTTTTTAGTATGGCCATGTGTATATGACTCACGGCCATCAGTGGATAACAAACAATTTCAGCAAAAACCTCAATATTCATTACATTCAGTACACATTACGCAGAGACTTTGATCTCTACCTTATTGTTTACATGCAGATTCTCTGCTTACAATTGTGACCTAAAACCTAAAACACTTAACATTTCTGTTAAATGTCAAAAATAACTTTGTAGCCATTAATACATCAATCGCTTGTATTTTGTCTTATTCTCTCTCTCCTGTCGATGTGCCACTTTCTGTTCTGTTAACGTAAAATGCCAGCTTTAAGGTCCAGAAACATGCAGGGTTCTGCTCTAAACATGCAAGATTTGGCCTCAGCAAAAATCTACAGGACAGAGTCAAACTTTGGGCACCACTTTGAGCAGTCTACATGCACTGATTTCACGATTTTAATAACATCTCCCTTGGGCTTCCAAATAAATTATTCCTCCTAGTGGCAACTATCACATTCACATCAGGGGTGTGCTTTTTTTGTGATGTCATTTTCAGCACAATTTGTAGTAAATTGTCAGGCTCAAATCTAAGCGCAGTTTTATGGTTTAATTAAGTACTCAAAGTACCTCAAAAGAAATACATATGCAGTAGGCAAGCTGAAAAAATAAATGTCCCAAAGCCAATGTGCCTGTTCAGTACTCCTGACAGAACGATTCTACACTGCTTACAAGTATCTGGTGATGTCTGTGGACTCAATACTTCTAAAAAAATATAAATCTGTCTACTTCATGTGCATCCGGTCACTGGAAATGAGAGTCTATATTATGGAGAATATACAGTATTTCCAAAACAGTTCTTCAAATACTGATGTAAAGCTTCAGTTACAGCTGAGATTTTCCACTTTGATATTTTTTATTGAACTGAATTTGCTGAAGCACAAAGCATGAAGGACATTAGCCTTAACCCTATGAATACTTACAGTATGTATCATCCACTCACACTGCTGTCCACAACAAAGCTATATAGCAAATATGCAGATGTTTTCAGGTGGCCATGTACTAACAAAGCTAGACTTTTAAACTAGTCCGATTAAAGGCCAACTCCTTTCAGGGCCATTTATACCATTAAAAACTTTTGAAAAAAATGATGATCCAAAAAGCTTAAAGGAATTTGACAGTTTTCATCAGAATTTGGAGAAAACCATCTTGCAAGTTGGTTTTATATGGAACATTCATCCCTGCATCATTTGCTCATTCTTCCCAATACGAAGGAACTAAGGAAATGTGTGGTCTGTGCAGATGGTGGACCATCAGCTGAGGAAATCTTGCCATTTTCACAGCCAGCAACTTGCCAACAGGCAATCAGATTTTGGAGCTGCCTCATCTCCTTACAAAGACACAGACTGTACAACAATCTACTCGGAGCATTTGGCCTAGTACGGCAGTTGCATGAAAATAAAAAGTCTGTAGGGCTGCTCAGCCAAGACATCCCAGAAATACCAGAGATAAAATGAAACAGTTTTGTAGAAGGAATAGATCAGAATGGTCCAAAAGCAGCCACAGGAAACATCTGGTGGTGAGAGATGTTATTGCTGCTGAAGGAGTTCCTTTAAATACAAGACTTCGATTACTTTTCAGGCTTGCACAGAGTGTTTAAAATAAACTGTATATAAAAGAGAAGTAAAACATAGAGGAAGAAACTTGGACTGGCTTTTTAGCCGTCAGATAATTCTATCAAAATGCTCCAGAGGGCACCAATAACACAAGCACATCTGAGAGGTCCAGCTTAATCACTTGCATTCATGGACACGAGGCATAGGAGTCAGATGGGCTGAAGCTCCTTGTTGGCACACTGATCAGCCAAAGCAGCCACAGCCCTAACCTTGAGCTGTACGGGGGAATAGATTACAAAGCGAAATTAATGAGTTAGCAAGCTATGCTGACCTTAAAGCCAAATTTTTCTGTGTCATAAAAGTGACTCTCTTTTTACCTACCGGTAGCTAAATCACCATGGTAACTGATACTCAACCTGGTCAGGACCAGGTTGTGTTCAAAGTCAGCTCAGTTTGCCCATACCTTACTGTTGTCACATATGAAGCCCAGCTCTGTGCATCACACGCTCACTGGATTCCTCAGTATATAATATTGGAACACAGGATCTCTATTCAAACCATAGAATTAATTTGCTTTGCTCAAGCATCAAACTCAAGCAGCTTTCACATCTCCTTTATAACCTATGGGGCTTTAATGTTTAGTTTCTAATGAGACCCAATTACATAAACAGCAGCACCGAGTTCTAAATATCATAAGTCATAAAATATTTAACTTGAAGTATTTTCCATGGATTTTTTTTTTAAGTTTACAGTTGTTGTCTTTTACTGCTTTAATATCTTGTCTTATTTGTAACAGCACTACTATATTTTATGTTCTTATATTTATGTTCTGTATATATTTTAATGACTATAGGATGATCATCATCTCTGATTGGAGGAGGTGCCTCTCATAGGGATCATTTTGTGCGGAAAAAGAGTCACTTGACTGGAGAAACACCCTTTTTTATGTGACCACAGAGCCTAAAGCAGAATTTCCAGCTTAACAGAGAAAATCCATAAGCACTGGTGATGCATGTCATCCAAGTCAGGTTTTAGGTTTTGTCAAGCTGCTAACGCAAAATAGCCTTATTATGAGTTATGAGCAAATATAGTCAATTTATAATTGTTCTCCATCCATCCATCTATTTTGTTCCACTTAACCGTGACCAGGTCAGGTGGCCATGGGGGCAGCAGCCTAAGCAGAGAAACCCAGACCTGTCTTTCCTCGGCCAACACCTAAAGCTTGTCCGGGTCAGCTGAGAGATATAATCTCTCCAGTGTGTCTTGGGTCTGTCCCGGTGTCACACCTCACCCAGGAGGCGCCCAGGAGAAATCCTTGTCAGATGCCCGAACTGGCTCCTTTTGATGTGGAGGCGCAGCAGCTCTTTTCTGAGCCCCTCCGAGACTGCCAAACTCCTCACCCTATCTCTAAGGGAGAGACCAGCCACTCCCTGGAGAAAGCTCATTTGCACCATTTGCATCAATAAACCTGTTCTTTCGGTCACTACCCAGAGCTCGTGACCAAAGGTGCAGGTAGGGATGTTGATCGACCGGTAAATATGAGAGCTTTGCTTTTTACACTCAGCTCTCTCTTTACCATGACGGACCGGTACATCGGCACAGCAGCATCACTGCAGCCGCAGCTGCTAGTTGTTAGCAAATGGCAAATTATCTACAGAATCCCACAGTTTTTATTTACCCTCCTAGGACCTGGCGTCCACATATGTAGACATCACATTTTGGGTTATTTAGACCAAAATACTCAATTTTGCTCTACAAGGGCCTGATATCCACTTACAAGGACATTATACTGCCACTGTTCTATCAACATTTTAACACTGAATATCCTCATATGTGGCTCTTATTTTTCTTAAAAACAAAAATAAGGTAAAAAAAAAATCTGGTAATTCTTTGTTTTTACATTCATGGGGCCCCAATATGCCCAAATATCAAATATCAAATTAAAAATGCATGCCGTGGAAGATTTTGGGTCTTAGGAGTTTAAGGAGGTAAGCATGCTTTTTAATGCTTTTTCAATACACATACCCTAAAAGGGTAAAATGTACTTCAGATGCTTTTTAATACCAAAACTTTGTAAACATGACAGTAATTTTCCGTTGAAATTACAGCACGTACTGTAGCTAGCAACCTATATTCTTCCAGAGCTGATGGGGGCAGGATATCACCCCTCCAGAAGTGGGTATAGTAGTACTTTCCATTCAAGTCAGATGACCAAGGGGTGAAACTGATTTGCAAAAGGCAATATGAAAAACTGAAAAACCTTTTTTTTGTAATGAAAAACTCATGTTTTCAGTACAAAGTATCATCCTTCTTGTGTTGTCCTGAAATAATAGAGTTTATCTTTAAGTACATAGGATAATCTTTTTCTTTTGGTATTGAACCGAGCATCAAGCATCTTGGAATTCTCCTGGTCCTGGCACCAAGTACTATATTTCTGAAATCAGATATCTGGTGACAGCCCTATAATCTACACCATTTAAAGCGTGCAAGACTGGATTAAGCTCATCGATCATCATCGTCTTTATTCCCTCCATTCGCTGAGTCGACCACAGAGCCTGTCCCGTCATCCTCAGCTCACTTGGAAACACAGATTCCTCTCCAGTGTCAGTTCAACTTCTTCAAGCTTTCTTCTTGCTCTTTCCTCATCTTTTAATTCATAATTTCTACTCTGCTAATGGTTCTGATCCCCATCAAGCACTTTATTCTCTTTAGTAGTCCTTCCGCTGTCACTTCTACATGCTCTCTAAGAGGACTGGTCGTCACCTTCTGCTACAAACAAAGACAGGAAATTAAACAGCTCTTTAGAAAGTGACTAACCCAACATTGTTAGAGTTCTGTCACATGTTTCTTATAACTACAGATTATATCTCAACAGCCACAAAGACAGAGCCATGATTCAGTGTGCCGAGACTGTTGACAGATACACATTAGGGACCAGACATACAGATTTTGTGCCAACAAAAAGCCTCTTTATGTGTTAAAACACAATTGCTGGGAATTTACAGGATGACAGAGAAAGCAAAGTGAAAATATATACGGGGGTGAAAAGAAAATTGTATTTTTTATGCCTTTGGTACAGTAAATACCTGCAGTATTATATGAAATGCAGGAAAAGTAGCTTTAAAAAAAGACCCCAAACACAACACATTTTCTTTAACACCACAGCTGTTAGAAATATAATTTGTTGATTTTTTCCTTTTTCATGTTTAGTTTAATTTTGGAGCATTTTCTTGTGTTCAAATTACAAGAAACATGTATGCCTGTGAAGTTAGGAGAATACTTGCTCTTGCTGCAGCGCTGCACGTTTGGTGCTGCCCTTTTTAAACTCCTTGCAAGGCAATAAAGTGAGGAACTGTTAGCAGAGCTAACAGTTTTCCATTTCCATCAGTACATTTCCTTTGCCCAAGTGGCATCTCACTTGGAAAAAAGTAGCCCTAAACTGCTAGAGTCAACAGTCTACGATGCAGGTGACAACAATTCAGTACAAAACAGTACAAAGTAGTACAAAAGATGCTTTTAATTTGCAATTTATAAAAAAAGTTCACTCACTTTCTTCTTTTTCCTCAAGGTGACTTTCACGCCATCTACAGACACCACGATGTTGACTTTTTTCTTCTTGATGTTTTTCACCTTGAACTCATACTGCAGAGAGAAGACAGGCAAAGCGATATTAATTTTTTTGAAAATAGATATAGATAGATAGATATAATTTTTATTTCGAACATGCAAATATATTTGAAATAACAACAGAAAAAAAAAAACAACTTAAAAATCATCAAGTTTTCATGTATATATCTTTGTCTACAGAATGCGTGTGCTCGAAAAGGAGTAGGATGAAGTTTACACTTTTCTTGTTCCTACCCCCTTATTTCAAATTTCATTGCTTACAAATCCATATCCAGGATTCAACATTATTTGATCGTATATGGTTAACTATGTACAAGTCTAACACATTGAACATACACAAATAAAAACCATTTTCAGCACGTAAACCAGAACAACAACAAACTACATTTTTACATAAACTAATCACCCTGTCTATAACACCCGCTTAATCTCTGAGCTTGTTTTATATCTATGTGACAAACACCTTAATAAACATTTAAGGTTGGGTTACTCAGGCCTTGATCTATATAAAAAAAAAAATGACGACACAATGAGACAACTCAGTCACTGAGAGGAAGATATCCTATATTCATGCATTTATATTGGGGTTTTTTTAAAATTAAAGGTAGACGTGGGGTGTGTGTGTGTGTGTGTGTGTGTTGGGGGTGGGGGTCCACCTGTTGAATCATGGGGCAGTGAAAAAAAAAATTATACGAAACAGGGAAAAATATCAAATGACAACATTGGCGCATGTCTGGCAGCCCTGTCTAAAGAGGTGTCACAATTTGTGACACCAACTTTTAGATGGTTTGATCTAAAAGTTGAGTTAAAGCTGCTGTGATTTCAGAACTATATTAGAGTTATAACACCGGTGTAACACGCAGCTGAAGGTACAGAGGTGATACTTTCAGTCAACCCAAACCTCTGCACATAAAAACCCTACAAGCGTCTGTTGTCAAGGCTTGCTCAACAGTCTTAGATATATATCAAAGCAAGGTGTTGTTAAAAAAATTACATTGACATCTTGCTAGTTAATGACAGCAGCAGCAGATAACTGAGGTTCCGTTTGTACAGACCGAGCACGGTGTGAAAAGACGACACGGAAAATATTTTGGATGCAAATTTGTTGTGCAACATATACACACATTAAGGGTTTCAATTTTGTGAAAAATATATTTTCAGTAAGACAGAGCACACTGTTGAAAAAAATCAAGCCAACATCATTTCTAATGGTTTGATCTAAAAGTTGTGTAGGCTCTGTGTAGGTAGGTATGAGCACCGTGGTGATGCATGTCATCTCCAAGTCGAGATGTGTGTGTGCCCCAACCATATATGTTCATTTATCATAAGCCATATAATCGTCCCAATACAAAATGATGGTACTACACATTTTTTGCCATGTCATGCAGACTTCTGCTAAAGCAGCTCGTTCTTTGTTCATAACACCCGGAGCATATTTGCATCCACTCATATTGCACCTGCCACAAACCAAGCAGGCAGTCATACTATGAATAAAACCAGCTTCACTGTGTCTTCATAAACACACTTGAAAAATTTGAATAAGCATCGTGCCAGCTTTTGCAAACTTGATCAGCCCTACAATAACAAACTTCTGTGGTTAATTTAAAAACATTCTGGTTTCTATGTTAGAAGTACCAGAAAGCATTAGAAAAAGAAAGCTTGAATGAACATGAAATTATTTGAGCAAAGACACCTGACAATGACCAAGATTTGTTGCAGAAAAAGGGCAATCCCAGCTGAGTGAATATAAGATGATGGGCAGACTCCTGCTAAGCTAAAGTCAATTTATACCCCATAAATCAAGCTGAGACAGCTTCCATGGTCTCTGCTGCCTTTAATGGAGCTGTGAGCGGTGTCAAAAAACAACCCTGCAGGAGGCACCCACAGTCAATAGTGTATGGAGCCACACCGTTTGCCTATCAAATACAGAGCAGGGGTAAAAACAAAAAATCCTGGATCAAGTGACTTTTGTGTTAATATAGGGATCTTGCAAACTGACATGCAGCCGAGTGATGCCTGAATTCCTGAGTTATACAGCACCACCTGAAAGGTGACAGGAGACACACCTCTATGTCTACTTCTGGCCATGAGCCATCATCAGAGAAACGACTGAGTTACTAGCTGAGGTTAGATTAGGTACAATCCTACCATGCTGTGAGAAGCTTATGGAAGACCCACTCAGTGAATCAAAGAAAGACATCAGAACATTGGGGTGCATATAAAAACACCAAAGCGAGCACTCTGGTCTAAATAAAGCACAACTCATTGATGAGTTCTGAATCAATGAGCCAAGGGCGTAGATTTGGCATGGACGGAAGGGACATGTCCCCACCAATAT